GGCTGATTGTGCTGATTGTCGCGTGCTATTATTTTGTCTTCGGGTGTAAGGCTTCAATATATTATATATTACATTGGTTAGGTAAGCATCGTTATTATTACACGCTGGGTGAGTGCAAGCAACGCATTAATAGTTTTTCATGATTTCAAGATGGTACGGTCGCAAAAAATGCTTTTCCAGTGAAGGATTCATTTAAAGCATCAATGGCACTTTGTTCAAATACAGTTTTCATGAGGCGTCTCCCACCTCGTTTGTTTGGGCGATCCTGTTTAGAAAATATATACCCTGAGATGTTTAATGATGCACTACAAATCGAATCATTTGTCCACGTTTCTGTAAAGCAAATAATATTAGGGTAGTAAATATCTACAAAGGTTTTAAGTTGAAACATTTTGTTAACAATGAATCCTGCGTTTATTCAATTTATACTTAGGACGTCGTGTAGTGGAATGGTGTGTTGTAGCAAAGAACTGGTCTCTACATTAGTGTGCATGTTATTCAGACTATTGTTTTGGGAATTGTGCATTGGTATGAACATTTGGTGAAGTCGGTATTGGAATTTGTTGAAATTGTGTTAATATTGGACGGTATGGTGTTGTGCATGGTGACGTTTAAGTGTTTGCATCATACTGATTATAAAGGGGTGAATATGGATAGATTATGTGTATTGGTTAGGTGTCATTTTAAGGTGAGAATTAATAAGCCGATTTATAAGTGGATAGTAATTTCTGTATGTGATCGCGTTTGGGATGATTGCCAGTTATACTTTTATTCGTCATGTAAAGACTCGTATTGCTATTTATCATCATGTAGAGACTTGCTATTTACTATTGTATCGTGATTATATCCAGTATTTGTGTTATGCTGGTCGGATTCATTGTGATATTTCGGAGATTGCGCTATCTGGAGTGTTTTCTTCGACCACATGCGGCTGATTTCGTTAAGGCAGCTTGCCTTTATGAAAGACTCATCGGCTATGCATCGGTGTTATTTCAGGGCCTATAAATGCCTTAATAATCTGACTACTCCGGCTTATTTTAGGATTTCGTGGCTTCAACATGGCTGAAACAAGTAAGTCAAGTCAATTTTTTTGAAAAACAATTTGCCAAAAAATACAGATTTTTGCATATACAATAACATTTTGAGCTCCACACAGCATGGCTTTTTCCGAACTGATCTTGTGAAACATGCCACATGTCTTTTCTAAACATACTTACTTCTCTGCTTAATTATGATTTATCTGTGGTAGTTATAAATTTTAACCTTAGTACAGCATTTGATAAGTTTCCTCATAGGAGGCTCCTAGCCAAACTAGAGATATCAGGATTTCGTAGTCCTACTACTGACTTCATCAGATCTTATATTTCGAATCGAAAAGAAAACGTCTTATTAGGATCCTCAAACACTACTGCTACCGCAATTTTGAATGGTGTTTTTCAAGGTACCTTGCTAATACTCTGTTGTTCTTGCTTTACATAAATGATATTTCATCTTATATTTATGCGGACCATCTTAAGTGTATTTACTCATTCTCTAGCTCTACAGCCGCGAGAAGCCTAGAAAAACTTCATTCTGATTTGAAAGCTGATTCTGCTTGGAGCTCAACATGGCAGATGGAATTCTTGCCTTCTAAATGCCGATACATGTGGTTTGGGAACAAGCTTTCGGTTACCCAATGACTGAATGTTCCAACTTCAAGGAAGAGGTTTAAGCTACACCAATAAATTAAATCTTCCTCCTCACGACGACAGAATTACGGCAAAGCTGCACAGATTTGCGGCTTTATTTCTTATAATTTCAATCTTTCTGAAATAAAATTAAGATATAATCGTATGTTTGTGCCTCCCATCTTATAATACTTTTGCCCATTCTTCGGTCTGATGAACGAAATTAGTCACTTACACGAAAACTGTTTTATCCAACATTTTCTAGTACTTCGTACTCAAATAGATGTTAATTAAGGAAACTAAGATTTCTTTGTGTCAGGAGATTGGAAGCAGCCCCTCTCTCCTTTTCGCCTAAATAATATCACAAATCTCCCCAAGCTTTGTGTTATTACCCCTGTCAGTCGTCCCTAAAACCTAAGAAATTCTCTTTTTGTTATCCCTCTTCAGCATCTTCCTCATCTAAACGCTCTTTGTATTTGCTTCCAGGTATAGCTTTTTTGAAACAACTTGACAATTGAAATAAGGCCGTTATCTAGACTGTCTACTTTCAAGTGAAGACTGCACATTTATCTTAACACTGATTCTACAGGGTGTCCCAAAACATGCATACACATTTTAAATAATTGTAAACTTGGTGTTTATTATAATTTGTTATTTCAAAAACGTAAAAATATTCAAAAGTATCATTTTATTGTTTTTTTAACTGAATTTGACTATTGCAACAGGGGCTTAATTGAGAGAAGCTACCGGACAATAATGCACCCGAATACCAAGATAATTGTTTCATGGTATGTGCAATTCCATTGCTACGCGTTGTCAGCACTGTCATGCTCAAAATGGACGTCAGTTTGAGAAAATTCTGGGATAATAGCAATAAAATGGTACTTTTATTTAATATTTATGATAAACACCAAGTTAACAGATACGTAAAATGTGTATACATTTGTTTGGGACACCCTGTATTTACCTTTTATTCTCTTCATCGTTTCCGAGAAGTTTTCACGATGACTTCGATAAAGAACCATCGGGAATTTAGGAGATCCGTTTCAAAATATTTACTCTGCCTCATGTCCCACGGGAACCTAGACGTTTCCATTAACCGCCGCTCAATCAAATGAAGCTACGTGGACGTACACAGTCTAAGCTGCTCCCGCTTTGTTGGCTACTAACCATCATCAGTCTCCCTACACATATTTGTACTCTACTACTCAGTCTTATCTTCCTAAGCAGTTTGTTTCGCTAACACGCTTTTTTAAAATGGAGGCCTGTTGAGCTCTGCCTCCATTTTTACTTTAACCGTTTTTTCAATTCCATTTAATTTTGAGTTTTTGAGTTCACAATTAGTAGCAAACCATCCCTAAATAATGCCACAAGAGGACAATTTCTGCTGACACTATTCCTTTCAAATTTTATCTGCGCATATTGTCAAATTTGTTTTTGAATTATTATTACTTATAAAAATTATTTTTCTATCGACAGTGCCGTTCTGGCGCTAACAAATATAAATTCTGAATTCGAACTATAAACAAAGGCATTTTACCTCCTTATTGGGTCACAGTATTTAATAATTGCAAAGGCCCAGCCCATCATTCCAAAAACGGTTGTTTACATAATTCTAGGCGACTATTAACTTGCTCCAAGGAATACGATCACATGCGGTGATGTCAGTTAACATGAACCAGCAGGTGTAATCAAGCAAAAAGAACAGAGGGTAGAAAAAACTCCTATGGAATGGCTAATAGTTCAAAAATAGAATGTCATTTGTAGTTTGTTTAGGAGAAAATCTGCCGCTCTTTGGTCAAAAGTATGTGAACGATAGGACTGACACGCTGTTGTAGATATTGGCGGCAAGCCAGGAAACCCAATGCGATTAATATCGTTATTTGAAAGGCCACGCGAGAATGAGACCTCAGAGTCATAACAACAGCACGAAGAACCGGAAATACGCCCTTGCTCTTTGCCGCGTCTACCGATAAGCTGACAAAAACAGAGGAACCCGCCAAGGTCGTCAGTAGTCAGTGTTTTGGTCGATATGAGGAAGAACGTGACAATGCCGCGTAGCCCATGGTCATAGTTGCGGTAGAGGCGACTGCTGGCGCCATCTTCGCACTTCGTATAGTGCGAATGAGGCCGAGCAAAGGTATTGGCTAGGCATGGTGAAAAATAGTTCGAGTAAATTGCAAAATTACTTAAAAATAGCTAGTAGCATATTTATAGCATTTAATGCGAGGTTTCGGAGAAGCGCTTGATTGTTTATGCTGACGTAGTGGCACGTAAGGCTGTACTGGTCAAGCTTTCTCTTAAAGGGCATTTCATGCCTGAATTACTCTCCTATTGAAAATTAATTAATTTTGGTCAATTTTTGCTCCAGTCACACGTAATTTGAAATGTTGTCGGGCAGTTGGTAGTGGCCAGCTCAAAAAAACATTCGATATGAGAGAAGAATCCTCACCCCGCAGCATGTGAAATGTCTGTGTTAGAACACCACTAGCTGTCTGTAATCCAGAAGATTCACGTCGAGATTGACCAAGCGTGTCTCATACGGTACCGTTGGCCTCATAATAATTTTATTGCGCGTCGTAAGACCCTTTCAAGTGTTTTTTGGTCTTTCCTTTTCCAACCTATCCAGGCTGGATGGCAAATTCCAATTGTGTTTGCCCGATCATGTCAAGGACCTTGTTATAAACTACTTCATCTAACTTAGCAAATGAGAGCTTGATTAGATAATTGCTAGCCATTGTCGAATTAGCCACCTTCAAGCAGTGGAACGGTGGCTTGACTGAAGACGTAATCCACTACCCCAGATCCTTCTGAGCCTCTAGCTATGGCAAAAACGTATAAGCAGGAGCCCTATATCTCAGGCTTGATAGTAAAAGTTCTTCTTTGAGGCATTTTTAAAGAAAGCGGAGCTGTTCGTATGTTGCGGCATCTCAGGTTGAGAGAGGAAGCTATGCGCAGCGTATCGAGAGTCAAAAAGAACTCACTACATTTCTAAAAGCGGATGAAGGCAATCATTTTGCTGGCTTACAATGGTTGCTCCAAAGTGGTGCTCGAGAAATCAAAAGAAAGCCCAAAGACTCATAAATGACCAAAATTCCTTCAAACTATGCCCAGCCATTGAAATGAAACATTTGCTTACTCAAATGAACAAAAGTCTTGCAAAACTCAAAGAAAACGGCGCAATCACGCCTAGCGATTGGTTTTTCATGAAACCAACCGACACAGACTCAGCACGGTTTTACGATCTGCCGAAAGTTCAGAAATAAAAAGAACACACCGGTTAGATCCATCGACTTAATTCCTGGCACTCCGACGTACGGTATGGCAAAATAAATGTTCACCCATCTCAAGTTCCACGAGAGCGATAGACCCCTAAAGTCTAGACATCAGCTCGGACTCCTACCACACTGCCTCAAAGACGACTTCACATTTAGTGGACAAAGGTATGAACAAATTAAACGCACTCCCTTGGGCTCCTCCCCATCAGGCCTGGTTGCTGAAGTGCTATGCCAACGGATAGAACACTTGGTCTTCTCCAAGTTTCAACCAATGTTTTGGGCTTGGCATTTCGATGAGACTTTCGTCATTATTAAAACGTCTGGCATCAAGCACCTCAAAGAGTTATTGAAGTTGGTAGTTGCAAATATTCACTTCATAATGGAGGCTGAATAACATAACTAACTACCATTCCTCGATGTTCTTGTGTGCTA